TTTCTCCCATGTATACATGTTATTAAACTTGGTATTATTTTCTCCTGCTAACCTGTCTTGTTAACTATTTGGCCAGCCATAAGAACCTTAAGGAAAAGGGCAGAGGGAGATTGTCCCTCTTCCCCCGACAAGACATTAAAAAAAACGAAAACACTGGAACCAGATGTGTTTATCTTTAACCAGTTGACAGGGCAAAGTTTCGCTTGGGAAAAAGAAAACCCACAATCTAAAGATGTGCATAGAATTGAGAGTTGCCACATCAGTTGAATTGACATCTGTTCTGTGGTTTGAAACTTGTAAGGACTCCTCACCATCCCTGGAGCACCCTCTATAGGAACGATGAGGGAGCATTTGTTTCCGTGCACACCCACCCCAGGATGAGGGCTATGCTCAGACCTTGGGGTCTGCTGGTGTTTGCAGGACTGAAGGCCACTACAAGGAGCAATGCGGGAAGAAAGGGGTTCAGCAAAGACAGCCCCGAGTACAAAGTCCTGCTCTGAAATGTCAGGAGGCCGTCACTTTTTTTCTCCTGTTGTGAGCAACGCTCCAAGGGCATCAGACTCTAAATGTAACGTGAAATGTGAAGCCCTGAGGAATTAGGATTAAAAAGACAGGAGGAGAAAGAATCAAGCCTGAAAGTGTCATAGCTGGAGTGGAAGAGAAGCCAATGAGTAGCTGGGACCCTGAAGGAGCAAAGAGAGTGGACAAGATCACAGTGATCCAAACCAGATGAGGGGACTATTGTCCTCAGTGGGAGGAAGAGACAGAGCACTCGGTGAGGGAAGGAGGTGTTTTGAAAAAGGTCTGAGCGTGTTTGGAGCTGGGATCAGGGCTGAGGCCCAGGGTCTAACTTGGATGGAAGGAGAAGTCAGAGAAATATACCTACTGGAAGGAGGATTGTAGGACTGCTCTGGCCAGAGTGTAAACTGTCTCATGGAAGATTTCCCAGGGGCACAAGCTGATTGGAAGGCACTTGCAACAACTTAAACTTGACATGTCTGTCCTACTTTCAGCTGCAGGAACAGCCATGTTCAAGACAAAGCCAGGCCACAGGCCGTTGGCATCTGTGCATGGAAATTAGCGTTCCCATAACAAGTGAATTGACAGTAGTATTACAGTCTGAGTTTTCTGCCTGGGGCCCTCCAGGAAATGTTGAACTGAGCCTTGGTTGCCCCCACAGCTTCCTGGCTGGACCCAGGAGGTTTGTGCACAGGGAGAAGGTGACTCTGCAGGGCTGTGTCTTTGCTGCTGGCACAGAAATACACAGCGGAGTCTTCTGGCTCCAGGGCATCCATGTGAAGGTATAAGAGGGAGTCATCTGGACATTCAGGTGAGAAGCGACTTGGAACACTCTCGTTCTCAGTGAGTTTCTTATAGTTGTAGACAAACATGAGTTCCAGGGGCTTCTGTGCACTCTGTTTATACCAATACATAGCATTATGTCCCAGATGTTGTCCACATTTCAAAGACTTCTTATTTCTCATTCCCATGACCAGGTGTTTTGGTGACTGTGTAATTCCAGTGTCCATGGGGAGTGCTGGGGGAAAGGGACAAAATCAGACAAAGCCCAGAAGGAAGACTCTTACTACAGCCACAGGAAAATGGCTCGAAGTCCAAGGGCAGCCCATTTGAAGTCAAGACTCACCTGCTCCCAGGAGACAGAGGGCCACACAGCAGAGCAGCCTGCAGCCCATGGTGGAATCAGGGCTGTGGTGGCCTGTGTAAGAAGGATGCCCTAGAGAGGGGGCAGGGCTCTCGTCTCCTTGGCCTTGATTGCTGGTTTTGCCTGTGACATCACTGTCCTGACAGTTTCCCCAGCTCCAGTGAATATTTCTTCCTCCTCTTTTCACACCTTGTACAGATTCTGATAGAAGATGGATTTGAATAGACTGGGTTGGGATATTCCTCTGACAGCTGCTATTTTGCTATTAGCTGCCATCCTCATTATATAGATTCTCCCTCTATCCCCCTCCCTTCCAAGACCCCTTCTCAGCAACAGACCATTTCTCATTCAAAAGATCTCCTTCCTTTTCTCCTCCATTACATAGGACAACATCACTCAACACACTGGTTCCCTCACTGTCTAAGCTTGATGGAGCCCCTCTGCCTAGCTGTTGGAGGGAGGAAGACTGGATGCTCGTGGTCTCGTTCTGGACCAGTGCCCAGCATTAAAAATGCATGACTATGATGCCAGCTAGGAGCCAGACACTGGGAAGGGTGCTGAAGGGACCACACAAGGGATAAACCATCCTCTGGCCCTGTAGTTGAGGGGACAGGGCTTCGCCGGGCTGACAGCAAACAGGTTGGTGAAAGAGGACAACATGTTAAAAAACCAAATTTAACTGAGTAAATTTTAAAGATTTTATTGGCTTTATTCAACGATTCATAAATAGGGCTGCATCCAATCTAGCAGATAGAAAGGAGCTCTGAGGAGCTGTACAAAGTGAAAGACTTTCATAGGCAGAAGGGAACAAGACAAGGAAGTTGCTCTAGCAAAATGTGGGTTGGGTTTCCTTTAGGGGATGGCAGGGGTCTATCAGGCAGATTACCTCACTAGTGCTGACCAGCTGATTCCTGCCTGATTGCTTAAGATTCCATTTCTGGGAGAACAGAAACTAATTCAGTCTTGGTCTGGTGATGTGGGTCTTAGCAGAAGTGACCCCATTTGAGCGTATTTTCTTTTTTTTTGAACAAACACAAAGCATGTGATGCAAAACAAAGGGAAAAATTTGTAAATGACTTTAGAATTTTGAGATGTCTAACTGATGCTCCGAACTGATAAAAAGATGTAGCCACTATACCCTCACCTCCTTCCTCCCCCATCCTTCCATTCACTCCCAGACCTGACTCCTCCCTGAGCCTCAGAGGTTTCAACAGAGCCACAGCTCCTCCTTGTGGTCAAAGCCTCACATTTCCCAGATTCCAGGCCTCTTAGCAGCCCAGGGTCAGCAATCTAGATCTATCCCTCATTCCAGAGACTGGGGGCAGCTGTGATGGGCATGAAACTCTAGGGAAGTGTGAAGAGGAAAGAAGCAAAAGAATTGGCAACAAACCGCTCATCCACACACCTAGGACACTCAACTTTTACTCAACAGAGATTGGCTATGTCTGGATTCTTAGTCAAGAGCAAAACAGATATTATCACAGCCACTTATAAGCCAGTTTGTAACGTACTCACAGATGACACTAGAGAGTAAAATGTGTCCTATATGAAGTTTAAGAAATGTATTCCGTATTTCAGTGTTTAATGACTTCATATAGGTGACACTATTTCCTCAACTGTTACAGCAGGGGAACTGATGTGAAATGATCTCCAAAGCCCTGTCCATTTCTAAACTGTTAGAAACCAAACCACGCCCATCACTTCTACAGAGAGCTTTCCCATTTGGGACCAGCTAGGATGACCTACAATGAGTCATTTCTACTTCACAATATAAAATATCTGTTTATGCTTTTTGTCCATTTAATTACTGGAATTGCATCTGTTTTCTTAAAATGTACTGTTATGCCACTACTGAGTTTTCATTTTAGAAAATTTGAAGATATGAATAAAGACAAAAATGAAGTGATCTATAATTGCCAATTGATATTTACCATTTATGTATTATTATTATTTTAGGTACTTGGTACCAAACTGGAATAACAAGAATCAATGTAAATCTATGTTGGGGGTAGGGAGTGTAGTTACTCATGCTTTAGGTCAAGAGTTGATAATTAAAATTTTTTTAACCCAGGGATGTGCTGGGTCAGAAGGAAAATATTATCATTTTCTGAATGTAAGAAATTTTATCAGATATTCAGTATGGCCCATAAAACAAAAAAATGTAAAGGTATATGGGTTAGAATTTAAGCAAAGGGAGCTGGATATTCTCCCGCTAAACAAGTTACATGCGTGATGGACCTGCAATACGCTACTATTGGAGACATTCCATTCTTAGATAAGAACCGAACATTAACCTTAATTAAAAGGCTAGCAGTGTTACTATTAAAATTACTATGCTGGACATCCCCTGGAGCAAGAAGACACTCTGGCTCTTCTCCAATAAAACCGCAATAATATGAATAAATGAAATTTTATTGCATTGTTTGGCTCCCAATAAGTAAGCAAAATTCCAAGGACTAAAAAAAAACAAAGGACTTTAAACTGAAACCTCAAACAATGAGTGAAAGTGAAAGGCTTGGTCACCCTGAGAACAATTCCCAATGTATGCACAGGGTGGGACACCAGAAGGTAAGCAGAGAACAGGGTCTGGAAGGCTGGAGAGCTGAGCGGAGATTTCAGCAGACACTCGGCTAGAAGACACTGGCAGTCAGGGCCGGTTAGAATGAGGGACGCTGGAGATGGTGCTGTGATTCCCACTGACACTCCAAAAGGCTATGCCCTATAATCATGACCACGTGCTGGGGCTCCCTTAGAGGGAGTGCACAACTGAAACAGATCCCAGCAAATCCCACGTTCAAACCTGCCAGAATCAACCTCACACTCCTTAGAAGAAGATGACAGAATCCAGAGCCTCTGCGCTACACCATCCACAGTGCCCCACACAGACCCTTTTCTAACCTTTCATGGAGAACACTTTAGCCATCTCCTAGAGAGATTCCACCCAAAATCTATCTCCCTCTGATCCAGACTGCTACCAGTGTTATTGTACGAAAATAGGAATTTGATGATGTTATCTCACTTAAGGTAGGACCGATGGCTAGCTACTGCCTAGAGATTTGCGTCCAAAGTCCTTTCCATGTGTCATAATATCCTCCCTCATCTGGTACTGCCTGTTCTCCAGGAGGCTTCAAAGATGACATTCAATCAGAATTGGCAAGTATCACCCTGGTATCCTTCTTGAAGGCAGGGAGTCTGCAGTGCACATGCTCCCTCCACCGATGCTTCTCCCCACCCTTTCTTTCTAGTTTACCTGTCGCCATGGACTTTCACGCTTCTACAAATACTTTTCTATAAACAGTGAACTCATTGATAATCTGGATTTCTCTTTGTCTTAGAAACTTTTTTATTCACCTCATCTTCCTTTAGGATTTTTCTCATCAAATATTTTCAGTGAATAGTGTGTTTTCAGTCATAATGTTATGTACACTATGTACCAATATGTGCAGCAGAGAAAGGCAAGGAATGGCTTCTTCCATCAGTTAAGATCTTCAGTGCGTGGGACAGGGCCCTTTCTTGTTTGTGGAGCCTGGAGTGCTTTAGTGAATTTACTGTGAACCCCTGCTCTAGCTGATGAGCAGAATTCTGTAAGGCTTCTATATGCATATATCTTAGAACTGCCCCATGGGTGCACTGACAGGCTGTGCTACAGACTGAAACTCAAGCCAGATGTCTCATGGGGTGATTGGAGCCTCAGGATCGGGTGAACATGTTGTCCCCACAGCTTCCTGGCTGGGCCAGGGGGTTTGTGCACAGGGAGGCAGTGACTTTGCAGGGCTGTGTCTTTGCTGCTGGCACAGAAATACACAGCGGAGTCGCCGGGCTCCAGGGAGTCGACATGAAGGTTTAAATGAGCATTGTCAGGAGATTCAGGTGAGAAACGAATTGGAATTGTTTCGTTTACAATGACTTCCTTATTACTGTAGGAAAACATGATTTTCAGCAATTGCTTGGAGTCTTGCTTATACCAGTACATGGCATTATGGCTCAGATTTTGTTCACATTTTAGGGACATCTTATTTCCCACCCGTGTGACGAGGTATTTGGGAGTCTGGGAAACCGCCGTGTCCAAGGGGCCTGAGAAGGAAAGAAGTAGAATTCAGACAAGTCCCAGGAGGTACCCTGTTGCTGGAGGCGTGATGAACAGGCTTAGAGACTCAAAGTGGGATTGTGCACCAGGGCCCAGGACTCACCTGCTCCCAGGAGGCAGAGGGCCACACAGCAGAGGAGCCTGGAGCCCATGTGGAGTCAGCGCTGACCAGGCCAAACTCTAGCACAGGATTCTGGTCTCGGTGGTACGAAGACCCAACTGCAGTGCTCCAGGGCCCCGACAGATGATTGGCCTGTGATGTCACAGGTTAGAAGGATTTCCCCATTGGCAGGCTCAAGGATGCTTCTCTGAGGGTCATTCTTGTTCCAGCAGCTGCCTCTTTCCTCTTTCCCTGCCCCAGGATCTGGCCACCTCCCCCTTCCTCCCTTTGGGCTCCTCCCTCAGAGTCACTTCTCTACATCTTCTCTTTTCCTTCACAATAATGCAGGGCAATCCCACTCACATCCTGGCTCCCTTGAATGTGGTTTAGGGTCAGTGGCCCCCTGACTATTTCAGTTGTGAGCAAGCGATTGCTGTGAGGTCTCCTCAGAGAACTAGCTGCAGACCACTTAAATTGCATGAACCGATGTTAGCTAGGACCATGATGAATCCCTGAGGGGATGAACTGCAGCCCTGCTCCCTGTGATTTTCTCCTCTGTCCCAGAGGTAGAGCCCTGTGGGGATAGGAGGCTCCTAGGGAATAAGAAGTCACATGTGATATCAAAGAGGTTGTAGGAGTGAATCATAGCAAGGCAGTTGTGGAGAGTGTAAGCAGATAATTTTACTGCCCTTGAAGTGACTACAGGTCACCTTCTCTTTTGGTATAAAGTTTACAACTCAATGCCTAGCCCGGGGTTTCTCAACCTGGGCCCTGTTGACACGTCCTGCTGGATTATTCTTTGCTGTGGGGGCTGTAGGATGCTTAGCAGCATCCTTAGTCTCTACCCACTACATGCCAGTAGCACCCCCCTCTCCCAGTTGTGACAACCCAAAGTGTCTCCAGACATTGCTGAATCTCCCCTGTTGAGAAGCAAGGTCTCCTTTTTCCTTCCAGGAGTCCTTCCCCTCCTCCACCAGCATCAGGGTTTTGTTTGGGCCGCAGCTCCTCCTAGTGGTCAGCACGGGGCAGTTCTCGGATCTCAGTGCCGTCCTGGGCCTGGCCTCAGCCCTTAGTAAATTCAAGTCAGCAAGGACCAGGAGTATGACCAGGGAGCCACAACTGCCACACACATGCTCACGCACACGCACACACACATGCACAATTTGTGTCAACAGGAACTGTCAACTGTTGGTGAAACCCCTTCAAAGACGGCTCCAGATGGTTCATTTGTTTTTACTGAACACAGAACAAGCACTGGGGATGCAGTAGTGACCAAACAGAGACGACCACCTTCCTTCCTGGAATTCCTAGCATGCTTTATTGTTTGCAGTCATTGAATGGCTACTTAGTGCAAAGCATGAGTAAGACAATATTCTCACTCTTGTGTTACTTATATTCTGATAGGTACAAGAAGAAATTCACAGATTACCCTAGACCAGAAATACAAAATACATGTTATATGGAGATTAGGAATATACTCATGATTAACACAAACACTGTCTTTTATTGGGCTTCCCATGTCCTCATCTATTAAATGATGGACTGAAACAAATAATTTCCAAGTCTCTGGCCAGTATAAAATTGTATGATCCTAACCAGGGGCACTCCTAGATGTTTGCTGAGCTAGTGGGTCTTATGCATCCAGTGTCCCAAGTACCTACCTCTTTGTACCACACAGCTTACACAGGAAACTTTTCAAAGAAAGGAACATAGGGAGGGAGGGAGGGAGGAAGTTGGGAGGGAGGAAGTATAGAAGGAAATAGTAGAAAACAAAACTGACACAAGGCTACATATAATAGTGATTCTGAGCATATAAAGAAGTAACCCTTCTTAAAGAGTAGATTTCACATCAATTATTTACTTTATTGTTGTATGCAAATCCTCTTGAATAATCAGGTACACATCATCCAAAGAGAGAGACTGGGATGAAACTGATACGAAGACACTTGCCTCGCATGAGGTAACATTAGTTCTGATTGTTTTATATTTTTCACAGGAGAGTTGGAAAACAAGATTTTTTTCCTTGTCTATCAAGAATTTCCCAAAGGATAGAATGGAACAAAGAAATGGATTCTTCACACCTTCTTTTCTGACAGGCCTGGCTAAACTGGAGAAGCGGCAGCCTCTATAGAAGAACACAGGGCTGAGGCTGGAATGCCTGGGAAGCGCCAGGGGTCAATCGCAGGAGGAAAGTAAATAATGAAGAAAAATGCAATAATTTTAGCATAGACATAACTTCATCCACAGAAAGGTGGAGAGTCACAGGACCAGTGGGATGAGGCAGAAGCCTGGAGAAGAGCTAGAACAAAGGAGAAAAGGCTGCATGATATGAGGATGTGGATTTTGGACATTGGTCATATTTGTGGCTGTCCAAGATTTAAACTCCTTCTGTTATTCTGACTATTACCTAAAGTTTGGGTATTAGTGGAAACAGGTGTGTGTGTTGGTATGTTTTAAAAGTGAAATCTTCCTCTCATTCTAGAAACAAAACCTCCATCACTGCCTCTACTTTGTGTGACTTCAGCAAGAGCACAGTTCCACCTGGCAGAGCTGTCTCCTTCCACCAGCTCCCTAAGAACTCAGGGCAGGGGAAATGAGGCTGTGTGCTCTGGCAGAATGGGACAGACGGAAACTCTCTTGTGCCCAATTCTGTCAAGTTTAGTTCCCTGAACACAGATTCCCATGCAGATCTCAGTCTCATCATATTCTGTCTCTCCTCACTTGTGCTGGTGCTCAAAATTGGTCTCTCAGGTCTGCAAGGGCACAAGGGCCATGATCTGCCTTCCATTCTGCTCAGCAGGCTGCTAGTTACTGGTGGCTCTGACTTTGAAAAAAAATCCCCTTTCTTTCTGAAAAAAATACAAAATTCAACATTCACTTCAACGCTTGGAGTCATATGCTACAGGTGAACCAATGGCCATCGATTTTCCAAATAAAAATCTAGATCAAAACCAGACGCAACATTCTGCTACAGGTCATTAGTCCTCCAGCTTTACAAATGATCAGTTCATGCTCTTTGCCCATTTAGCTATTGAAGTCTCATTTATCCTCTTAAAATATTTACATTTATTATTCCTTTTATTATATGGATCCTAAATGTTTAAAGTCATCTGAAAGTAATGCAAGAAACACTAACAAAAATTTAATGCAATACCATGATGCACAGGCATTATTTGTTAACTTTTGTAAATGATTCTATGTTACCTTATTTCTGTTCTTCGGAAGAAGCTATAGATGTTTTGTGGGGATGAGAGTGGGGAAGGTCTAGGGGACCCTGAATTTCCAAGCCTTTAGTTAAAATTAGTCATGTGGAATATTCAATATTAAGCTTAAAAGTGTGTATTTCTGCACTTTCTGTTTGTAACTTTCAACAAATTTTGGAAGTGGCTCATGATACAGAAGATTAAGAAATTTAGATATGAGCACAGACAAATGAGTTGACTATCTTTAGTAGATTCGTCTGTTCCAGTCTAAGATGAACTGCAAAATTAACCATCACTGACTGGCTAACAGTTTCCTTGTAAACTATTTGTCAAGCCAGACTTTCACTGTTTGGTAGAATATGTCTATATTGTGAAGCATCCTCCTACTTCAGACAACCAGAAATACATAAAATGTAATTTTGTGCCATTCTTGGGTTTCAAAGAAGCAAAGGAAATTCCAATTTTTTTTTTTTAAAGAGGTGAAACAGGAGCCTTTGGTGAAAACAAAATGAAAAGTCATGTTTCAGATCTGCATTCTGATGTCTGTCTTTTCTCTCTCTAGGTGTTTTGATATCACGTGTTTTTGTGACTGGACATTTCTAGCTTCCGTGGGTCATTGGAGACAGAGATAAAAGTTGGAGATAGAGTCCAGGAGGAAGTCTGTTGCAGAGTTTCCTAGAACTGTTTCATCAAACCCAGAAGCGGGTTTTCCTATCATTGCTCAGAACTCTCCTGCTCTAAGTATTGAGAGGACACCAGCAGAGGGGCAAGAATAAAACCCTTTCTAGCTTAACTCCTAGATACTCTGGAGTGAGAGAATGGAGCTCTAGGTCTCCTTTGGCCTGGTAGGTAGATGTCCCTGGGTTATTACTATCTCTGCAAGATCCCCAAGGAAGCCCTGGCCCTCCAGGCTCACTGCCTGAGCCCCAGGAGTTCACATCACAGCAGCGCTCTGCTCCAATGCACTGGGTGAGCTGAGGCTGAGGCCCAGACCCAGAGCCTCCCCTGTTCCTCTCAGGAAGGAGTTTTCCACCTGCACCTGCCTGTGGGCTCCTACCTTCCACACCTCAAACCCCTCCCCTTTCTAACCCCATGCAGGCTCACCTGCAACAAGTCTGGCAGTCCAGGCTCTTTGCTGGGACAACACCACCTGCAGATCAACGCAGAGCAAGTGGTCTATATTTAATCCTTCACATTTCAGCACTGACTCAGCTTCTGCAAACCACATTCTCCTGTGCTGCAAACAAACCCAGACTTTCTCTTAACCCTCTCCCATCCAGGGAGTTCTCTCAACCCTCCCTCAGAGCTCCCTGAATCTCAGAGTCACAGTTCTTCCTTGTGGCCAAAGGATCAGTGGTGCCAGGACTCAGTTCCCGCCGTGCACAAAGGACAGCAAGGTGGTAGAGGTCTCAGAGATAGGGATGGACAGTCGGACAGTTGTAATTTGCTCCTGGCCCTCCCATCTCAGACTGATTCCTCAATAGACACACAGCTGAGGACCTGGGCCCACACCTGGGCAGGGCAGAAATGGGGATACCAGGCTCATGCTTCTTGTCATCAGGAAGAAAGGGTCCCTCCTGAAGGATGTTGGAATATTGATATCATTGTCTGTGAAAGCACCCTCAGCCTTAGAAGCAACTTTCACAGGAAAGGAAGATCCTTGGTCTCAGAGCAGACCCAAGACTCACCTGGAACTCTCTTTCCCACTCAGCCTGTTTGGTTGGGCAAGACATGCTATTTAAGGCTCATGCCAAGAAGTAATCTATGGGTTTCATAGGCACTCCCAGGAGACTCTGAAACCCAGGAATATTAAGCCCAGGGACTGACACTGAAATATCACTATTGAATAGTCTCTCTCTGATGGTTAATAATTTGGGGAGGAAATATCAGACTTATAGAATTT